TAATTATGTGCATAAGAAATTTTTTTAAACATATTGATGTGATGAAAATCCTAGTCATCTTACAAAAAAGTACAAATAATTTTATAACATTTTATAATTAGCCTAGAAGAAAGACATATACTTCTTAAAAAGGTATTAAAGATACCTATGATAAATATTTTATTTAATAATAGATTTATATTCCACCCCTCAATTTTCAATATCCACAAACTTTATGTGCTAATCGAAAGTTAAAACTTCAAAACCGCTATTTTACTAAATGGTTATGGCTAGCATACTCTACCCGAAACAATGGAGCTTATTATAAGATATATGTCCTGTTTGGCCCAAGATATGCTGGAAGAAATTTACTCCATTCAACAAGTATAAAGATGCTGGAGAAATCTTTGACAATCATCAAAAAACAAATTATCACAAAAGCTGTGAATGATGATTTCGTCAAATTAATTCAAAGTGAGGAAATAATTTCCATTTCATCACATATTGACAAAAGAAGGATTAAAATAGCAAAAGAAAATAAATGAAAAATCAGACTAACTATTGAGGCTATTCTATATTGTGGATTGCAGGGCCTAGCATTACGCGGTCACTTGGATTCAGGAAGCTTGAATTTCAATAATAATGATAATGAAGGTAATTTTAGTGGTCTTGTAAAATTTAAAGCATTAGGGGATTCTGCATTAATGGAATACCCAAGCGACAAAATATAAACAGAATTATTTCTGAAACTCCTTGTCCAACAAGGAAGAAATTGCAAAAAGCTTGTCCAACGAGATGGAGTCTTTGCCATCAAGCAGTAACAGCTTTTATGGAGTTAGAAGAGTCGATTATTAATGCTCTTACTGAAATATCACAATGGCCTGAAAGAGCTATTTCATCAGAAGCAAACAAAATGTAACGAATTGTGTTAAAGATTTAATGTAGAATTAAATGAAACGGACGATGATATCGTATGTGCAGTGAGGAGTCAAATGAAGAAGATGGAATATTACAATATGATAATAACTCATAGTGTGATAATAAACGTAACAAGTGTTTAATATGCTTGTATGAAATTCTTAAAATATACAATATGCACACAGTGCATACACAAATTTATTTGGCATTTGAATACATTTTAACTTTGTCATTTACGCAGGTTAATTGCGAGAGAACATTTAGTAAATTTATAATTATAAAAAATAGAGTAATAAAGACCAAGGAAAATTAGAAGCGTTTTTAATGATTTGTTTTGAGCCTTTTTTAAAACGGCTAAATATTTTAGCCAGAATATTGCTTAAGCCTGGAGATTTCGATAATATATGTCTAGACCTTTGTTCCTTCTATGAGCAAAATTTTCAGACTTGCGTAATATTTGGATTAAGTAAGCCGTTTTTAAAAATTGGTTCAAAACGAGCCGTTTAACAACACTACTATTAACGCAGATTGAACTAGAAGTTGTTTATTTGCGCAAAGGTTCGAAGTTAATGAGAGATTTATTAACATAAAAATTATATATTATCATAATTCTTTTATTTAAATCTTATTTATATCTATTTACAATATGATCGGTGCCTGATTTTATAAGTGCAGCAATTTTATTCTCTGAGCAATATTGTATAATTGCAATAATTTTATATGTGTAATTGATTTTATATATTGAGTATGTATTATTTTATATTTAACATGTGATGTATGATTTGATTTTATAGTGCAATATCGTTGTAAATCTATTATAAAATATATGTGTGCAATAAATATTATTTAATATGTACAATGAATATGATTATAGAGTCTTCTTTATTATAAATGTAAATCGTTTAAATTTATTTTCAAAAATAAGAAGTAAATTCGAATAAACCAGATAGAGTAAATTAATTTTATTTTTAGATGGATTGTATATTAGAGTATGTTATTATATGAGAATGGAGATCAGAGCTATTGTTGTTTGACCTTGATTAGACATTGTTTAAATGCAGCAAGAGAAGAAGCAAGGACGATATTATGAGAAGTCTTGAAAGATCTACAAGAGCAAAAAGACAGTGGGGAATACATACCATACCAACACGAATGGTGGGTGTGTGGGGGAAACCACCTAATTAGATATTGTAGAGAACACGTTCTCACGGGAAACAAAGAATCGTTAATGGTTGAACAAAACGAAGTACCTTGATGAGTCAATATGAAACGAATACTGCCTATTGTGATTAACAATATTAAGGGAAAGGGTGTCGTGATTAAAATTACCTGTGGTTGTTTTATAATTGACAAAATGTAAATTGGTCAATTATCATTTTCATTATATTATATTTAAAGGATTTTTTATAGTATGGAAATTTAATTGTTAACGTTAATGAAATTGAAAATGTACAAAAATAAGAAAAAGAAAAGATTTTCGAATTGATATGTAAATTTAAATTATATAAAACATCGTGATTCTATTTTTCTATATTATTATTTAAGTTTTTCGTTTTTGAAAACAAAATTTAATTAATTAGTTTTTTGTAATAAAATTTAAAAGACTTAATTTTCTGTTTTAAATAAAAATTAATTAAATTAAATTTACTCTTCATATTCTCTCCTGCTATCATTTCTTATTATTACAGAAATAATTACTTTGCTATTGCTCTAATGTATACTAATGATAAGGGTAGACAGAATAATTCTATTTAAGCCAATGGCTTATGTAAAATTTATAAATAAATTCAAAAAATATACAGGATAATTTTATAAATATCAGTGTCTAAAGATTATTATATAATAATTTCAATTACAAAATCCTTGGTTATTATCAAATATATTAGATTGTGTTGAACAATATCTTGCAAAGTTAGTATTAATAACTCAATGCCAAACCAGGTGAGAAATGTTTAGTAAAATTATTTCTATATTAAATAATATCTTAAATCTTGAGTAATGGAGATCATAAGATGGAATTTTGTTGGTCTTAATATAGAAATGAAACCTTTAATTAGTTATTAAGTATCTTCAGCTTCTAAAGAAAAATGTTTACCTCTTTTGGCCTTGTCCAATCCAAATTAGGAAACAGGTTTGAACTAGAAAAGGCTTGAAAATTAGTTTTTCTTTTAAATATATAATAATAAAACAATCTTTTTAATTTTCATTGTTTAAATCATTCATAAGAAAATATTAGTTAGATATATTTGAGTAATGTTTGTTAGTGTTAGGCCCGATTCTAGCTTCACCCATTAGAGGGGCAGATATTTATTAAAATACAAAATGATTTTATGTAAAAAATGGCACATATAAAATATGCAAAAAATGTAATAATAATCAAGTATGTTTATAAAATTAGAAGGAAATAAAAATTGACTTATAGCTAAATATAAATAAGTTGATTAATGATTTTACAAATGTAATAACATTGATATAGTTTAATTTTGTTTGTATAATACTTGTTAAGTTTGATTATAAAATATATGTAATTAAGAAAATATTTATAACTATATTAATTGATATTATGATCAATGATTGAGCAGTGTAAAACTAATAAAAATAAAGTATTAACAATATAATCTTGGTTGAGATCTATTTTTAAATGTCTTAAAATCATTTTCATAGTTAATGGTTTGAGTATGTTTTTTTCTTGTCTTAGAAAGCCAAGTTAACCTTTCTTATATAACTACTCGAACATTTATCTAATTTAATAATGCTCTTTAATGATTAAAAAGTTGACTTACAACTTGATGTGATGATCTAAATAATGCTTATTTGAAAAACATTTGGAAATGCATTTATATATGGGTATACAAATTTGACAAAATATGTGCAACACAATCTTTATAACTTTATAAACCTTTAACAAATAATTATTTAACAACCTCATTTTCATCTACTTTGTTTTTCAAAAAGGTTTAATTTATTCATGTGCAGAAAATTGAAATGGCATCTTGATTTAAATTCTTTTTTTCAAATTGTTTATTAGTTTATACAAAAAAATCTTTTGGTCTTAGGATTCTCTTCTTCTATGTACTCTAAATTTATCCTGCTTTTTTAAGGTACCTTTTTCATGAACTTTCTTACAGTTGATAAAACTCATTTTATTATAGGTTGATTCACCATTATTTGTTATAGATTCTACAAAGAAAGTAGAAAAATGTATCAGCTTCAATTAATTTTCTAACATATTGGTATGTATAAAACATTAAGGAAAATTTTCTTCCATTAGTAGCAGTCTTTCTGAGTTATATTTGCCTATTTGGTAATATCTGATTTGGATCAGTTGGTTCTAAAAAATATTTGAAATAAGAATAATTAAAGGATCTAACCTTTTTTTTGTTTTTGGAAGCTCAGTCTCATTTCCGTATTCAGAATCTTGGTACCTTTATCATTTTCATCATCATCCACCAAATTAACTACATTTACTTATTAGGTATTTCTGATAGTATTGTTTAAAAGCCTCAGGTAGGTTTATTAAAATGGCCCTATTAAAATCCTAGAGATTTTGCTCATAGATGGCAGCAAGATTTGGTCCTCTATTTGTAAAATTTAGAGGCTTAAATAATATATTTTGATTAAAATCTTAATTGGACCATTTTTAAAAATCAGCCCAAACCATGAATATTTTTTTTAAACTGATAGTGGTTGAACAGCAGTTGCTCTCCTATTACATTCTTATTTTTAGAAAATTTATCCGAAAAATATTTTCGAGGAATATTTTGAGTGAGGGGGGATGGGAATAGGCCTAGAATTGGACTGGTTAGTGTTAATTAAAAATATAAGATAAGATTAATTAATGTATAAAATTTAATATAATAATAATAAGCTTAGGAAATACCACTAAATAATTTATTAAACAGCTAAAATAAGTTTAAATAATATCAAAATGTATTTCAGTAAAAATTCAATAATTAACATATTTAATTGAAATAAAAATTTAATTTTATTCAATAATTTTTTTAAAAACTCAATTGATATAAATTAAATTGATTTTCATTTTGACCCTTGTTTACTATGTTCTTAATGGGTCAAATAATAAACACTTTTTGATATTTACTTACTAAATTTTCTTTAATAAGTTGTTGAAATTTGAACATGATACTTTGTCTTTGCATCACAGTTGTTTTTGACCAAGTTTTAAAAGCATTTTGAGCACTTGCAACAGCATATTTCATTTCGTTTTCTGTGGAAATTGGAACTTTTGTTATCACATTATTATTAGACTTAGATCAAAATAAAAATAAACAAAACTTTGATTAAATTTACTGGATCATGAACATTCAGCCATTCCTCTGACTTTGAATCAAAAAATTTCCCATTAATGAATAGCTGTGTTTTATTAGCCTATTTTTTTAAATTTACATATAAAATTTAATATTTAAAACTGCCAGTTCAAATTATTCCATGTATTTTAATACGTACCCCATTATGAACTTTCCTAAAATTATCAAAATACGGTAAAGGTTTATAAATTTTTAAAATCATCTGATTTATGGATAGAATCCTATGTCCAATAGGCTACTCTGAATCTAGGTAAACCTGATTCCCAAATCCTTAACAGCAACAGAAGTGTATTACGAATTCGGGTTAGAGGGTTAAGCCCTTCACTAACTTTTAATTTTTAGCCCTTTTCCTACTGAGGCCTCGCCAAAAATATTTTAATTTTTAAATTGATAAATAAAAATATTATGGCAACAGCGCGACGTTTAAAATGTTTGAAATGATATTTAATAATATTTATAAATTGAATTATTATTTTTTATATTCGAGTATTAATATATAATTGTATTAGTATATAATTATATTATATATTTCAATTAAAAATATAATGAATATTATAATTTTCTTTATTTTAAACCACCTACACTTTTTAAACCACTCGATATGTAATTATGAAGTAACAACTCTATATAGTAATTAAAGAATGGGATTCCTTTTAAGAACTATTTGCCATACTAAATCTATCCAGAGAAACAGTAGAATTTCCTTCCTCCTAAACGGAATCATCAATTAATTTAGGTACTTTAATTTGCATTGAAATAAAAATAAATCTGCGAATCAATAAATTTTATTTTAAATAAAATATGCTAAAAAATGCTTGACAATTGGATTCCAATATCGAACTGCATGTAAATATTCGCCACACTATTTTATCTTTGATTTCAAAATCTTGAAATTGTTTTAGAATATTTAAATTCGAGTTATCACATTGTTGCAATTTTTATTTAGACATTTAAAACTATAGAGCAAGATAGATCCGCAGAGAGTGATATTTAAGTTGAAAATAAGGGGCAAACATCCAATTCATATGTATATATAAAAATTCAAAAACCTTCTCTTCCAAGCAACGATTATTACAACACTAGCATTTTAGAGCAGGAATGGCATAATTTACTCGGATAATAATATTATACCAGAACATGATGAACTAAACCTTTGGGACAAAACCAATTTAAACTTTATAGACACTAATTATGCTAGAACCCTACTTTGCATACCTGCTGCTAGTACGCCTATCGGAATAATCATTTTTATATCTGGATTATTACTCAATGTCAAAAGAATCTTTTTATGCCCTACCAATGGCTTATTATATGTCATTAATCTCGACAATATTTATTCACGGCGATTATAATTTAACTTTATTTCTAATTTATTTATATTTCTTACTTTATATTTTATTGGCGTTCTAAATTTATATATGATATATTGACTCTGACCTGAATAAAAAAACAATTCCCTAGACTATTTCGGAGGATAAGAAATGTATAGATAGGTGAGGAAATGATTTAAGAACTAAACTTTGTTAACAATATTGAAATAGAGTGCTCAAATCAATTATAAAAAATACATTGAATCCTAAATTCAATTTATTTCTAGAATATATAGCCCCGCCAACGCCGCTAATCTAATAGGCTATGGCTGAAAAATATTTAGCGTAATCTTGAAAATTTATATTATTACCTTAAGGCTTAATGAATTTTTTCGACTATTAAGTTAGCGCTAAACCGTTTTACATTACTACAAGCAAGAAATTATCTAATTTAATAAAATCTAATGTTAAAATAGAAATTCTAATATTCAGATAGGTAGATTTTTAATTGTTTAGATTAATCAGTATACTTTGAAAGAAATAATAAATTCGAATATTTTTTTAACAAGTTCTTCGGTATTCTTTTGCCAAACTATTTTTTATTGATTTACTGATTTTATAAAATTTGTATTAAAAACTAGCCTCAGCTCAAATTCTCATACATAAGTATAATATAATTTTTTTTATAATACTAATAGTAGTGTGTATAAAATATTAATGTTGTTAAACGGCTCGTTTTGAGCCGATTTTAAAAACGGTTAACTCAATATTTTCGCCAGAAAAATATTAACTAAGCCTCAAAATTTCGATACTATATGTCTAGACCTTTGCTCCTTCTATTAGCAAAATTTTTAGGCTTGCATAATATTTTTCTGGATAAATAACTGAGTTAGCCGTTTTTAAAAATCGGCTCAAAACGAGGCGTTTAACAACACTATAAAATATTGACTAGAAAATAATTTAAAAAACAAGTTTTTTTAAACTTCTTATCAAATACAATTATACAAAAATTTTTATTAAATACTATAATTATAATGTGATTTTTAATTTTCGTGGGAATGTTGCCAATTCATCAAGAATTTTGTTTGTCGTTGGAATCAAATCTCTGTGGATATTTAACAGAGCTAACCCATTTTGCCGAGATTCGGAAGTAGTACTTCATAAATATGTTTTCAACCTTCTTAAGTTGGAAAGTCCTTTCATTCGTACATGTTATAATAGGCAAACATGATAGAATAAAAAACAACTTCAAAATATTATTAATTTGAGCCAAGGTTTCTTTACATCGATTGAGCGCATCAATAGCATGCTCAGGTAAAATAGCTAAACGTAGTAAATATTTATACCACAATTCTAATTCACTGATTAAATTTATTTCAGTATCAATATCATAGGAATAAAATTTTGCTAAATATTTAATTTTACCAATAGTGGCATTAGAAAAGGAAGATGGATCTTTGGGCATTAAAACTTGAAGATTGCTAAAGACTTGTTTTTTATCTAAAAACCGTACTTTTATTTGCGATAAAAAAGTATCTAAGAATGGGATGAAAGTGTATATTTTATAATATTCTTCAGTTGAGCCAATATTTATTTTACATCTCAATAATTGCCCAGGTGCTAGACGAGGTTTAATTAGTGTTATATCATAAAATTTAGCCTTCGATTCACCATCTATATAAATATTATGAAAATATTCATCTTCATTCATTCTTGTTGTATCTACCTGTTCATATATATTTTCCGCCAAATCAATAACCTGAACCAAATATAAATTTGGTTTTTGTAAATTTCTACAATGAGCTATAGGAAAATAATTTATTGATGCAACTAGCAGCAATGATAAACTCTGATTGATCAATTGAATTCAATAATGATATCGCTTCTGACGACACATTACTTTTTTTCATGCTCAGCCTTATTTAACTTTTGTATTTCTATTTCTTCTGTTCTACAAAATCGAAGTAAAAATAAAATATTTAAAAAATTATAGATATTTATTAATAATTAATATTAAAAATACTTATTAATTCTAACTTACTAATAATTTTGAATTTAATAAAATAATTATATATAATAATAAAATAAATTACCATTTGATTTCAATCTCTTTGACTTAAAATATTTCCATTTTATTAATATTTTTGAATAATGTTAATGTACTCACAGGGAAAGGAAATTTTAATAAAATTTATTTATAAAAAATAAGTTTTATGTTGGAAAATTGATATTCAAATATTTGTAAAATTTTAATTGGGGGGGGGGGGGGGTGGAGGGTAAAATTTTTATTAGCTTAAAATGATATTTATGAAAACAGTCAAATTTGCGATGGGGGAAGATTTCCCCCTTTCTCCCCTCCCATTGGTTATGCGCCTGATCCAAAACTAGTAAGATTAAAAATATATCCATTTATAATTTCTCTATATAGCATTACGCAGCCCCGTATAATAGATAGTATTAAAAATGAAGAGAGTAAATGACTCGAATAAATTTTAAAAAAGTTATTATTTAATTCTGGCCTTACAAACCTGGGGCGGACTGGCCATAAGACCAGGTGGGCATTTTGCCCGAGAGGCCGCATGAAAATGTCGATTTTTGAGGCTGATCAGAGGAAAATATCAAAAAAGAGGCCGATTAGAAAAATAATATATTATTATGTTCACACTATTTTCTCTTATCATTTATTTATTTTTGATGATATCTCTATAATTTGAATATCACATTCCTTGACAATTGTCATGTCGTTTACTATAATTTAATCATAAAATATCAGTAACGTCGCTTGACGCGATACATCATTACCACGTTCCTTTCTTTGTTTTTTTTAAATGAAGTAAAAACGCTTCCGTTTGAGTGGAGTGAAAGCTAAGTTTTGATTAATTTATTATATTACACTTTTATACATTGATTTATTGTAGAAATAATATGGCCAACATTTATTGTTCTTAATTCATTGAAATCAAATAAAATCCAGGTCGGTGAATTAAATAAAAGGATGGATGCTTGGGTTTGAGAAAGCTGCAAAAAATAGGTAAGATAAGGTGGTGAGCACGTGAAAAGGCCCTTAGAGGATATTTGGTAAAAAGAGCTTTCTCCCAATAACGATAAATGCACTTCAATTTATATTAGATAATAAATCATTTGAAATAAAAACTTGATAATTTATGTAAGTTTAGACTCTAAGTACAGCTATAATATATTAGTAATTTTTGAAATAATTGGGCCACTGTCATATCTTTAAACTAAAAAATTAGGTACTTTGTCAGCATGGAAAATGATAGAAGATGCCAGTGGCGTAGTTAGGAATTTTCCTTAGAGGGGGTCTATACATATAAAAGCTGGGGGGCATGCGCGGCCTTCGGCCGGGCTTATCTTACAAATCATAACCATATCTTCGATAATATATAATAAATATATTTTTTAAATGCATCAATAATATGTTATTATAATTTATTAGATTATTCTCAATGACTTTATAATAATACTATCCAGAATAATTTCAATAGTAATATAATATCCTTCCACAAACATCAAAACCAGAAAAATATAATTCATATAAAATCACTTTTATGTCTTTTGAACGTATAATCTAAAAAAAAATTTTGCTCTGGGAGGGGTCCAAACCCGAAAACCATCCCCGTAGCTACGCCACTGGAAGATGCTAAGTTTTCTGTATCATCGATTCAAAATAATGTAATAAAATGGCTTCTAATTTAAATGAAACACTTTATTATTTAAAGCTCCCGGAGAGTATCAGGGTACAGAATACTCTGCTAAAAAATCGAATAGGACAAGTGAAGAGAATATATATAGTGACAAATGCCAAGATAAACGTCCTCAAGAATCGATTGATCTATATAGGTCGGAGTATTTCGGCCTATAATTGATCAAATTATAAACACCTTGT